CATCCACAATTTCAACTTCACAACGAATGATACCATGCCCAACGGATCAACTTAATTTTACGGTGAATAAGTCAGCTGCAACAACAAGGGTTTACTCCCCATCCAAGCATAGCGTAACTCAAAGACGAGAAGAGTTATCTGTCAACAAACACTATCGAGATTGATACCATTCAACTCGAAGACATATTCACCGTAAGGTAGCAACAAGGAACTACTTTCTGGTCGAGATTTTCATGCCCGGGTCTTTAAGTCGAGGAGAAGACCAAGGTCAAGAATGGCAACAATAAGCCACTTTTCGATTTTCCTACTATTTCAACTTCACAACGAATGATATCTTACCCAAAAGATTGACCCAACTTCACGATGAAGGAGTCATCTTAACACAGCAACACCGAAGTCTTCAAGTCAAGTTTCAGCTTCACGATGAAGTGTCTTAGGCTAGAAGACGATCCTGGAGCTATTTTTCAATTCTCTGAGTCCAGTTTCAACTCTACGACAAAGGATATCGCGCACATAATTTTTTGTTTCAACTCAACCTTACGACGAGGGAGTCATTTCGTGATCCAATGGGTTATGACAAATCCATCATGACATCGGATTTCAACTCTGCGACAGAGGGCATTCGATATGGACGAAATTTGTGTCTTTTAAATCTTTGCCCTATTTTTGTTACACGATAATGAGCAAAGAGGGGCAGCTGTAGACACGTCATTTCATCCCGATTTATGTGATATATCGCATGTGTTACATATTTATATCACCATATATATAATATTTATATATTATATTGAACATATATATATTTATTATTATCTATTTTGTTTGTTTACATGTTAAAGGTCCAATAACAGAACCAGGCCGGCCCAAAGCCATTTACAAGATGAAGTCAACAGTGGCCCAAACAGTAGGTGACCCACTACCCATCAGAAACCAAAAATCACTTGGGGCAACCCGAACCGTCCTGGATCTGAATAAGTTAGGGTTTTAAAACCCTAACCCTCACTTTGCTCTAGTCGCCCCCTTCCCTCCACAGCACCGTTACAGCCCGCCACGACCGCAACCAACATCAGTTTTCTCGGTGCAACAACACATTCGGTGACGTATGATATGAAAACACCCAACAAACATGAAGTTTAGTTCAAATAAGACTCAAAAATAAGATTTAAAAAATAGTAAATCCTAGGCTATAAAAGGATGTAACATCACACACGAAAATCACACAAATACACAAGAAAAATACGCAAAAAATAGTGAGAATCAGAACAAAGCTATTTGTAACTTTTGAAAGGAAATATCGAAATAAAAAGGTATTCTTTTTACTTTACCTTGTTCGGCCTTATATGTGCATGTGGTAGTTCGTGTTTGCTTATTGTATTTTTGACCCCAAAAAGCCCAAGAACGGGTGGTTGGCTGATGAACTTGGGGGGAGGGACCAAGATCTTTTCTCTCATATCTAGCCCTCCCCGAGGCTCGTTTTTAAAAACAAAATATATTTTTGAAATGAGGGAATCAAGGGCTTTTGAAAAAAATAATTTTTCTTATGTTTCTCCGTCGATGAACGGTGGCCGGCGAGGCGGCGTTGGTGGCCGGTTTCTGGGTTCATCAATAACCCAGGCGACTGTTCTTCATTTTGAAGAACAAAGGAGAGAAAACCGATTAGGGGGTGGTTTGTGTTTTGAAATGAGAAAATGATTTTTTTTTGCCAAAATATTGGCTTTTATAGCAACCCGCTAACTCAGCTTTAGACCCGCGTGTCAACCCGACCCGAGCATTAGGATTTGCGCGTTTTCATTTAAAAATGGGATAATTCCCATTTTGGTCCCTCGTCATTTTTAAAAGCCTATTTTGCCCCCCACACACTAAATGTTAATATTAAGTAATAGGAGAGGGAGGGGAAGGGGAGGAGGGGGACGAGAAGGGGCTAGGGGAAGGGGGCGGCTAGGGGGAAGGAGAGGAAAGGAACGAGAGGATTGGTATGGGGGTGGTGAGAAGGGGCGACTAGGACGGGAGAGAATGAGAGGGAGGGTGTTCTGAGGCGAAGGGATGAGTTTTTTTCTAAAAAATATTTTTGAAATATAATAGTTTTTTTGTAAAATAGAATCTTCAAAATTATCGGAATATAACACGTGTCACTTAATGGAAATTTTTAGCAACCATTACAACCAGGGCACTTAAAGTGGTAACGTTTGTAACACTAGACACCTGGATTGACCGAAAAATAGTATAGGCACCTAAATGGAGAAAATGGTATAGTTTGGGTACTTATTTTTACATTAAGCATATTTTTTTAAAGACAAGTGACCAAAACAAAATCAAAACGTAACATTAAGTGTGATTTAAAATAAATAATAGTTCAATGACCAAAACGGAAATTAAATAATAAGTGAGTGACTAAATAAATAATTTACCCTTTTTGGGAATGGGTGGGTCATGGCCTATGTTGGCCTAGGCCTGTGTACGCCCCTGCACGTCAAGTTTGAGCAGAGACGGACGTATGATTTTGTGTTATGGCGAATTTATAAAATTTTAGAAGAGAGCGAACTTATAAAATTTTAGGGGATGGAAATAGATTATCAATAAAAAGTACATAAAAAATTTAAAATATAAGAGAATTTAAAAATTTTAGAGAGAAGATTATCTTATATATCATCTCGGTTCATCCGTAAGCTTGAGCAGCTACTAAGCGCAGTAGAGAAATACAACGGAAGGACCAAACTACTAAAACAGCTTGGCAAAAGAAAAAATCGAGGCCCTAAATATCAACACCAACCTCAAGGGTGTAAACATGAGATGATAAATGCAAGGACCTTACTCCTACATCAACGTAATTTATTTTATTTACAATGTCAAATTTTGAACATTGAATGTCTTTTAACAAATTTGATATTGCTTAAACAATAGATAGTTTATCGATACTTGTTGCTTTAATATTAGAATAAAATAAAATTAAATATGATATTAGAAAAAAAATTATAAATCTTCAACAATACTAAAAAGACATAACACCTAGAAAAAACGTACACTCTAACTAACATGAGAATGCCACCAAAACAAACGAGACTCGTCCAATGTCCTACAATTTACCATAATGAAGATATATTGACTCTTACATCTCCGACAAACAATAATATAACTTGAAAGATACTATCAAGACTCCTCAGAAAAACTGAAACCCTACTACATTGGGACTTTTTTAGGACTATCACAGAAAATCAAGCAATCACCCCAAATCCGAAACAAACACAATACAATTGAAAAAAAATGGAAAACATCAATTTTTGAAGCTACAGTTTTAAGATAATTTGATCTGTCTACCTAGAAAGAAAAAAGGATCAAAGATGCAGGCAAAATGCAGTGATACAAACATTTTTCACATGCACGATCTCCACAATCTAGCTGTTTTACCAGAACAAACGATTCATAAATAGTAAATGCTTTTATTTGATTTTAAAAGAAACAAATTGATCTTGTTGCATAAAAAAGTTTAGTTGGTGGAGGAACCCACACTCTCACTCATACAAATTTTCCCTTAAACCAAACAGGTGAAAATGGAGTCAGGTCTTCTTTTATTTACCATAAATGAATGGCCAAAGAATAGAAGAAGAGCAGGATTTTACATGGCAGTCACCTTCAGTTACGTCACCCCATCAGCCAGCACCAGCAGCATATAATATTCTAATAATTAAGAGAGAGAAATGCCCAAAGCTTTCACCTTCAGTAAGGTTTTTTAGGGTCAGAGAAAACCAAAACTAGAAGAACCAAAGTGCCCCACCAACCCATAATTTCACCAGCCAAATTATAACATGGGAGGCCATCTGATTTTGTTTTCCTTTTTTATTATTCCTATAGGGTCTGACATTGAAGATCATGGGGTAAGGGACGTAGTCGAGATTAAATATTGACAGATGTTGAAATATTAAATTACTAAGGAAAATAAGATGACTTATTAGGTATTCATATTTAAAATTCAACACGAACCAATCGACTTTAGTAATTAAAAGATTGTTGTTTTTCTTGAGATCCTGAGTTTGAGCATAGCGTATGTAAGGATATGAGCGTTCATTGTCAAATGATTGAGAGTCTTTGTACAAATAATACATTGTATTCACTCCAGATTTATATATATATAAACAAAACTCAAAATTCACATGACAATAATTAATTTATCTAATATTTAAACTTACAATGACTTAAATTATTAATAGACCAAAAATTTGAGAACATAAGATTATCATTATTTAGTTCAGCCCGTACTCGATTAAATATTTAATAAATTCTTATATTTTTAATTTAAATATTTATTTTTATATAAACCAAAATACTAAATTTTTAACGGGCAGGCCCCTTTGAGCCCCAGAGCCCGCCCCTGGTCTAGTCAGTTTCCAAAATACCCTTTACCATTATTATTCATCACCCAGCTTTTTTTTTTCCCATGCAACGTGAAAATGGACGGTTAATGGAATCTCAAAGTGGACATCAACCATCCTTCTTTAGCCACTTTTCCATTACAGTTTCACCTAAGAAAATTATAGCTTGCTTTAGAGAGAGAGAGAGAGAGTTTTTTTTCTAATCCTGTTTTGGGTGATTGTTTTTGTGTCTATAAATGTCTATCTGCTAAACCAGAAAACTAGCACCTTTTTTTTCAACTCAAAACTGTTGTTGCTGCACTACTTCAACTATCTTCATCAAAAGAAGGAGAAGAGAAGATTTGGAGTTCAAGAACTTGGCCTTCTCATAGCTCAATCATCCCTTTCCAGGTTTGAGACCATAAGTTGTTCAACTTTATTCATCAAAGCTTGTTAATCCCTGAAGGTAGTTTAAACATTCTTGTCTGTAAATTTAAGCTGATGGAAAGGTTTTGGGGTTGGATTGTTGTTTCAGCTTCTGAGCCATGGAATTCCCTAACGTAGAACCGGAAAGCTCTTCCCAGAAAAAGATGGGAAGAGGCAAAATCGAGATTAAACGGATCGAGAACACCACCAATCGACAAGTTACCTTCTGTAAGCGACGCAATGGACTGCTGAAGAAGGCCTATGAATTATCTGTGCTATGTGATGCTGAGGTTGCTCTCGTAGTCTTCTCCAGCCGCGGCCGTCTCTATGAATATGCTAACAGCAGGTTTCCTTTCAACCCCTTTCTTTCTTTCTTCTGCAAATTTGTTGATTTTTTGTTTCATCCTAGTCCATTAAAGATGCCCTTTTTATCAACGTTTTGTCCTGCAACAGAAGCATATGCATTTCCAGTCCATTAAAGATGCCCTTTTGATCAACTTCTCTAAACCTTTTTGATTTTGAGATGTTCTTCCTTTGCTTGTTGATAGATATGCAGATGATGATATGATGCAATGGGTGCAAATATAGTAGTCTTTTAAAGAGCAATAAACTATGGTTGTAATGATATATATGGGTAGTTCTTACTCGTTTCTTTTTCTTTCTCCCTACCTCTCTCTCCACATATCATCTATCACACCTGCAAGAAAATTCTGCTTAAACACAACTGTGTCAAGCTCTCATTAGCCCACTCCTCACACTTCGATCAGATGACAGAGTTTAAGGTAATGATCTAATGGATGTGTGACAAATGAAAAAAACCAAATCATTCAAAGTTAGATTTTGAATTAGGGTTTTTTTCCCAGATTGGTTGTTTGACTCAATAAATCTAAAGCTGAGCTCAACCATAAAGAAAGGGTCAAATCAAATTGTAGGGTTTTTAAGAGAGTATCTAAAACAAATATCTTTAACAAATTATAAAAGAATCCTAGCTTTGGGTGCACAAGGCTAGGGTTTCCCTCTGTAAACACTTGGTTGTGTTTTCTTCTTTAATATTTTAATCCCAATAAATAATTTAATAGGTAGGCCTAGCATTATGATTAGGAAATGATGGAAGTGATGGAGAGAAACAAAGCAAGGGGTCCTCTCCATGCAGTTTCGCCTTGTGCTTGTGCTTCTGCTTCAATTCTCACTCTCATCATTTTATAGTTATCATACTTGACATTATCACTTTAAAAAAGAAACTATATTTTATGTTAATTTAGGATAGAGTTACACAAAAGATATTAGAGAGGGTTTAAGGGTTAGAGTTCAAGAATTTGTGGTCATTACATGGTGGGGAAAGACTAAAAATTCCTCCTAATTTAAGATTGAGAAATGATAGAAATAAATGAAATCTAAAATGTTATAATGTAACATTCTAAGATAGACGTAAAATATTATTTTTTTCTTTCATTTTTTGGTTACAATCAAAAGAATTGAACCAATCATATTAGATGATCTTGTGCTACAGTGACAGACACAACCAACCAAGCTCGACAAAATTAAGGAAACAGCAACCTTCATTGTTTCTCTATCAACACTGTTATTGCTTTTCTTTACTTTTGTTCTGCTGAGCTTTAGCCTTACCTTGCCATGTAGCTGCTAGTTTGTCTTTCTTTTCTCGTATCCCCATACACATATGGACCACAATCAACTATTTAAAAAATTTTAAATTATAAAAATTTTAATTTTAATTTTAATTTTTTATTTATAATCTGTTTTCGTCCCGAAAATTTTATAAATTGATCATTCTAAAATTTTATACAGATATTTCATTAAAATATCTATTTTTAAATATAAACTTAACCCCTTAGGTCGGAAGAAAATGTCATAAATCTCTTTCAAATCTATCTATTAAGTAAATTTTAAATAATAAAAAACTCTTCCCTTATCATTATTTAGCATGTATTTTTTTATTTCTCTTTATTCCTCTCTATTTTTAATTAAAAAATAAAAAATTAATTATTTTAAAACTATATTGATAAGAGCCCGGAGAAACTCTCATATTCAGCCATGACTGCCAGTAGATTGAATATTATCAAAAATCCCCCTATCAAGATGCCCGAAGAAGAAATATCTTTCCAAGAAGGTGATGTCACAATGGACAATTATGGAGATTTTCCAAAAATAAGCTTCTCTAGACGAATCCATGAATTGATTGATCGAAACATGAAACAAGTGGTTATCACGAGACTGCTGGGAAAGAAGATTGGTTATAAAGCGCTAATAAACAGAATACATGCTTTATGGAAGCCGATAGGTAATTTCAAATTAATAGATCTTGACAATGACTATTACCTAGTGAAATTTCAAAATCTTGAAGACTACACGAGAGTGCTTACCGATGGTCCATGGATGATATATAGGAGTTATTTGACAGTACAACCATGGTCGAGGAACTTTAATACATCTGAGAAACATCCCTCACAAGTCATTGCCTGGCTGCGTTTACCTGGTTTTCCCTACAGGTATTACAATACTGCATTAATCAGTACGATTGTGAATATGATAGGAAGAGTCATCAAAATTGACTACAATACTAAAGTTGGAGAAAGGGGAAAATTCGTTAGAATTACAGTTGTAATTGACCTGAATAAACCTCTTATTCCTTGTGTGGGAATAAATGATTTCATACAAAAAATTGAATATGAGGGGCTACAACAGATTTGCTTTAACTGTGGTACCTATGGGAACACAAAAGAAACCTGTCAAGCCAATCTTGAAGGAATTCAAAGAGATATCTCCAATGTTAATCACTATATTGAAGTTCAAACATATGAGGAAAATAGCAAAGACAATCATTTTGGACCTTGGATGGTTGTTCAGCCAAGAGGAAGAAACAACAGATACCAAAGAACCCAAAGTAGAAATAAAGATATTGAAGAATCATCTAAACAAGGTTCCAGATTTGCACCTCTGCAAGATGAATAGATGGAGGAAGAACCCAGGGTAAACACGAAAAATCAACAAATTATAAGTAAGGAACCTGAACTACAAGTCCCTACTACAAAAGCTAACACATAGAAGATCCAGATGGGAAGCAAAGCGGGCGATAGAGAAAGAACGAGAAACAAAGCCAGTTCTACACAAGCGGATGAAAATACGAACCAAACTCAGAAAAGAAGTGATCCCACCAATTTTGAAATTGACAAGATCAATTTAGTTGATGTGCCTATCACTGATAGAAGATTAACAGAGAATACAATTCATACAAAGGAAATATGTCTTAGTGGAATCCAAGTCTTGGCTAAAGAAGATGCCCGAATTAGTGAACACAATATAATTGTGGGAGATGGAAAACATATTACAATTTCCATTCAAGAAGGAGACAAAAATAGGAATACTACTTCTAGATGGAATTTCAACAAGAAGACTAGTCAAATTTCTCGCATTACCAAAAAAGGTCTCAAAGTCAGAAATTCAAAAACTAGTATAAATCCAAAGGTCCCTTACCTATCAGAATGGATTCAAGAAAACAATATGAATTCGGAAAACTTGGCTCCCCCTGATAATACCATGACTACAACTAGTCTTACTCAAATGGCGGAGCAAATGGAACAGAGTCAAAGCAAAGAATCTGAAGAAAAGAAAAAGGAGTTGTCCCAAAGTACCTACCCTCTATCTCAATGATTATGAAGATTTTGTTCTGGAATACCCAAGGGGTAGTTAAACCTTCTTTTAAAAGATACTTTAAAGATTGTGTGACTATTAACAAGCCTAATATCATTGCTTTGATGGAAACTCACACAAGTGGCAGAAAAGCAGACAATATCATTAAAAATATGGGTTATACTAACTCATTTAGAATTGAATCTCAAGGTCATAGTGGAGGAATCTGGATGCTTTAGGATGATTCAGTGGAGGTTAAGATTCTTAGAATTTCTAACCAATATGTGCATGCCTGTGTTAATCATATTAACAGCAACTACTGGAACTATATTACAGCAGTTTATGCCAGCCCCAACCCTAACATTCGTTGTAAATTATGGGATCTTCTAGAAAATCTCAAACCTTGCAACAATGAACCCTAGATTTTAGGTGGAGATTTCAACTGTATATTGAGATCTGATGAGAGAGTTGGTGGTTGCAACTGCTTCAGAGGAGGGAGTAAAAATTTTCAAGATTTCATTTTTAACAATGATTTGATTGAAGCTAATTTCCAAGGAGATAAGTTTACTTGGCGTCGTGGTAACCTTTGGGAAAGACTAGACAGATGCATTATGAATATGAAGTGGCTACAATTATATCCTGAAACTAGAGAACTCCACTTGGACCGAATTGGATTGGACCACTGCCCTATTTTACTGTACACAATGAATAGCCCCAAGGACAATAGAAAGAAACCTTTTAGATTTCTGGCTGCCTGGATGGGTCATCCTGATTTCGATCATTTTTTAAAAGAAGAGTGGGTTAAGAAAGATAACCTTATGGAGAGTCTCAATCATATCAAAGATAGCATCAAAGGTTGGAATAGTGAAACCTTCGGCATTATCAACCAGAAGAAGAAAAGAATTATGGCTAGACTAAAAGGTATTGATAAAGTTTTACGTTGTTATAATTCCACAAGATTGTCAACCTTAGAGACTGAACTTAAGACTGATATGGATACTATTCTTAGACAAGAAGAACTGCTTTGGGCTCAAAGGGCTAGATGTAAATGGATCAATTACGGTGATAAAAATACCAAATATTTCCACTCCTGTGTGATCACTAAGGGCATGAAAAAACTTATAACAGCTCTTAAACAAAAGCTGATAATTGGTGTGATGATCAGAATTTACTTAAAAACCATACCAGGAACTACTATAAAGAACTATTTACCAGGGATCCATCGATAAATCAATCATTGGAAAATCCTAGACCTTTCCCCAATCTGAATCGTGAACAGTGGAATTGGCTTGACAAACCTTTTGACAACATTGAGATCAAAGAAGCTTTATTCAGTATGAGCCCACTCAAAGCTCCAGGTATTAATGGGTTTCATGCGAGTTTTTTCCAGAGCAATTGGGACACTGTTGTAGAAAAGGTTTGCAATTTAGTTAAGTACTGCCTTAATGGAGGACAGATAGATGAAGCTATTAACAGAACTAGCCTTGTGTTATTACCTAAGGTGGATAATCCTGATAGAATTACTCAATTTAGACCCATAAGCCTATGTCAAGTGACCTACAAAATTATTACCAAAGTCATTGTGAACCACCTAAAACCTATCATTCCTAACATCATCTCTAATAGCCAAACGAGTTTCATTCCAGGCAGGTCTATTACTGACAATATTATTCTAGTTCAAGAAGTAATTCACTCCATGAAGAAAAAGAAAGGAAAAAAGGGTTGGTTGGCCATCAAGATTGACCTTGAAAAAGCTTATGATAGATTGGATTGGGATTTCATTAAGGACGACATCAAGAAAATGGGTCTGCCTAATAGGATTATTATAGCCATTATGAACTGCATTACATCCATGACAATCCAAATCAACTGGAATGGAGATCTTACCGAGCCTTTTAAACCGACTAGGGGGATCAGACAGGGAGACCCCCTATCGCCTTACCTCTTTGTCATCTGCATGGAAAGGCCGGCTCAAGAAATTATGTTATCAGTTGAACAAGGCAAATGTAAACCGATTAAGTTGTCTAGAAATGGTCCTAACATTTCTCACCTCTTTTTTGCAGATGATCTTATGCTCTTTGCTGAAGCTGACAAGACTCAAATCGATATTATTCAAAAAAAAACTCTCCATAAATTCTATAGCAGCTCGGGTCAAAAGGTTAACCTGCAGAAATCCAACATCTTTTATTCCAACAATATTATTTAACAGACCAGAAATTCCATAACCAATATGATTGACATCAAGGAAGTCAAGAACCTTGGGAATTATCTGGGAGTTCCATTACTGCACAACAGGATAAATAAAAGAACTTACAACAGCATCATCCAAAGAATTAAAGACAGACTTACAGGTTGGAAGGCTAAAACATTATCTCTAGCGGGAAGAATTATGCTTGCTAAATCAGTTCTCAACGCTATTCATGCATACACTATGCAGTCAATATTAATGCCTAAAGGAACATGTAAGGAGATTGAAAGGCTAACCAGAGATTTTATCTGGGGGAATTCTAATGAGAAGAAGGGTATTCATCTTGTGAACTGGGAGACACTCTGTAAACTGATCAAAGAAGGGGGTCAAGGATTGAAGAATTTGAGAAACAAAAATAAGGCATTCATTTTCAAACTTGCATACACACTTACTAATAGAATTGGCCTTTTATGGGTGCAGGTGTTGAGAAGCAAATACAGAATGAAAGAGACTCTACCTGAAAAGCTTGAGAAAAGAGGAGGATCATCTCTATGGAACAATATATGCTCACTTTGGCCAAAGTTTAAACAGAACATTTGCTGGAACATTGGAAACGGTAAACATGTTGAATTCTGGCATGATAGATGACTAGATAATAAAGACTCTCTATTCAATCTATTCAAACAACCAAGGGAAGTAGAGAACAACAAGTCCAAAGTCAAAGAATTGGTTAATCAAAATGGCAACTGGGACTGGAATATACTCACAAGACTACTCTCAGATCAAACCATCAGAAAACTAAAAGCAACACCTCCTCCAATCGATGAAGACCTTGCTGACACACCAGGTTGGATCCCCTCGGAGAACAGAGTCTTCTCAGTCAAATCTGCGTATAAGGAGTTAGAAAACAACAATTCAATAGAGGAAAAGATTTGGATCATCATTGCCAAACATAATAATATTCCCAGGATCAAAGCTTTTCTATGGCTTATTTGAAAAGATAAATTACTGACCAATCTGGAAAGAAAGCGTAGGCACATAACGACGGATGCAAGTTGCCCCATTTGCATCTATGCCGCAGAAGATTTAAACCATATGCTGAGACTCTGTCCGAGAAATCTGCAGATATGGGCGGAATTGATTAATACCCAGAAGCTGGGAAAATTCCTGAGTAGCAATATTAAGGAGTGGATTACCGAGAACCTTGAAGCAACCCAATCGCCTGCACCATCAATTGAAAGCTGGCCATCTTTCTTCAGCTCTGTAATCTGGAACATTTGGAAAAGAAGAAATCAAAAAATTTTCGACCCAGAAATGATCGAAAGAGAATCGATTATTCAACAAGCTAAAAGATTGAACCAAGATTTACAGAACCCAGGAGTCACTAAGTCTGGTAACCCCCAAAGCAAAAATAACAGCCGCTACAAATGGTAGAAGCCTACTAGAAACTACTGTAAAATAAATACAGACGGAACCAGAAATCAGAGAACTGGAGAAGCTATATGCGGGGGAGTTGCTAGAGACTACAATGGAAACTAGAGATGTGGATTTGGAAGAAAAATAGGGATGTGTTCAATTTTGGAAGCGGAATTGTGGGGTATCCACGAGGGTTTAAACATGGCTTGGATTAGGGGAGAAAATAAAGTGATTTTGGAATCCGATAACAAAGAAGCTATCAGTCTGATCAAAAACAAATCGATTGAACACAAAAAACTTACCATTCTGCAACACATAGAGAATCTCTTAAAGAAAAATTGGGAGATAGACTTGAAGCATATACCTAGAGAGGCAAACTGCGTCGCAGATTTCATCACCAAGCAGACATGGAAGTATCAGGAAGACATTATTTTTTTGGAAAACTCACCCAAGGAAGTTGAGGAGTTATTAAATTCTTATAGAACGGGCAGCTAGACGGCCCTTGTACCCTATTAAACCAATATATATATATATATAATTAAATTCTATTTGACTTCAAATAAAAATTAAGTATTTTAAACTTATTTTGGATTTAATTACATACCAACCTTCAAATAAAAAAATAGGGTGTACTGATAGAAAAAGAGGGGATTCAAACTAGGGGTGTTCAAAAAAATCAGGAACCGTTAACTGTAATTATTAACCGGTATAACTATTACATTTAATTGGTTAATTAACTTAACCGTTAATATTAAACGGTTTCGGTTAACCGAACCATGATGGTTAACAGTTAAGGTTGCGATTACATGTTTTGATTAACCGTTAAGAAATTAAATTTATAATTATATATTTCTAATTTATTAGATTTTTACACAAATAACTTAATATAATTTTCTACTATTTATAATATATATATATATATAATAAAATTTTTATACAAATAATTTAATATATATATATATATCATTTTTAATTTTTATTTCTTTGAAAATATAGAAATATTCTTACACTAATATAATTATGTGTTTATTGTTGGGTACTAAATTATTTGGAGATGTACATAATTACACTGCTGTAAATATGCATTAAGTGCTACACTTTTTTATTTTATTCACTTACATCGGTGTAAGTATGTGTTAAGTTATATATTTTTTTTTGTAGTATGAATTATGAAAAAAAATTGACAAATAATTGTAATAGGTTAACTGTATGTTAACCTATAATCGAATCGTTAATAATGGTTAACCGTTAGTGGTTAACCGTTTCTTAATGGTTAGGTTACGGTTAGAAAAATCTCATAATCGTTACAACGGTTAACCGACCGTTTAGGCTAAACGGTACGATTAACCGTCCATGAACTACCCTAATTCAAACTCAAGACTAATATTTAACTTAAACTTTGTCACTACCTCAAAATTAAACCAAATTAATTTTCCACTTCATTAACATCTTTGTAGAAGCTGAAAAGAAAATAAAATAAAAATCAAGCATTTAAGAATTCATTAAGTGACCTAAGTGGTAAAAGGAAAGGTTCTTCTCCTTAGAGATTTTGAATTCGAACAGTTATCTGCAGACTGTGTATGCATTGTCAATCAGTTAAGAAAGTTCTAAACAAATACTATCCTTATAATCTCACCTCATACTACTAAAAAAGCATTCAAATAGTCCATTGTGGTGCCATACTAACTACTTTCTTGTGATACATATATGCAATAAATGAAGAATGTGAAGTGATTATAAATGTTGACAGTGTAAGAGCAACAATTGAAAGACACAAGAAAGCATGTTAAGATGCAACAAACCCAGGATCTGTTGCTGAAGCCAACATTCAGGCAAGTTCTAATTTACCTTTTATATATATATATATATATATATATATATATATTGATTAAACCTTATATATGAATTACTAAAGTGATGATCTTCAACTACCCAAATTGCTCAGTTAATGGGTAATACATAGTTTTGTGTTTTCTCTCTGGTAAACTACTCGTTTAGTACCTAAATTATTAGTTTTGATCCGTTTTAGTATCTAAACTTTTAATTTTTTTTAAAATCATACCTAACGTTTAGTTTTTATTTCATTTTAATACCCCCGTTAAAAACTTAACGTCAAATTTTGGAAAAAAATAAAAAATTTAGATATTAAAACAGACTAAAACTAATAGATTAGATACTAAACGTGTAGTTTACCATTTTCTCTCCCACTGTCTTAAAGCAGCCTCCATGATTCATTTCTATGCCTTCAACTTACTTACAGCTAGGAAATAAAAGAAAACGAATTTCATTTTTACCAGTTAGCAACTCAAAATTTCAGAAATGAATTTATTTATTGGTGTAAAAATTAAATACTATTGATATATTTTATAAATATATATATATATATATATATATACATGCATATTTCTCATACATATATGTATTTTATTCTATTTAAAACCGTTGTCCTTTTATAATTATTGTTTACCCGATGATATTTTGGATTTATTTAAAGAAAGCATGAACCAAGCGACCTAAGTAGTTAAATAATTGATGTTATTTTTTGATGTTTCGGGTTCAAGCATAATATATAGGGGTATGAGCTTTAAATGTCAAATGGTTGAGTCTTTGGACAAATATAACTTTGTGTTTGCCCCAAACTAATAAAAGAAATTATCTAAAGAAAATAATTACAAATAATTTATATCGTCTTAAAATACATTAATTTTAAATTTCATGAAAATTTGAAAATTTTATTTTTTTAGATAATAAAATTTCCCAACTCGGGTTTAAACTTTAATATCTTAATATATATTTTTTAAATTATTGTTTGAAACTATATTCAATTCCTCAATATATATATATATAGTCTCAATTTTATACAAGAAGTTATATATAATAATAATAATAATAATAATAATAATAATAATAATAATAAAATTAGCCCTTAAATATTCACTGTTTTTAATTTTACCCTCATTTTTTTACAATATCAATTTTATTGTTTCAAAAATTTTCAAATAATAATTTTAATTCTTACATAACAATAAAGTTAGTTACAATGTTTCATTACTTTTTCAGTTTTGTCCTTCAATTTATTTATAATGTTACTTTCATTATTTTCAAAATTTTTAAGTCAGTCAGTCCTTAATGTTTCAAGATATAATAGTAAAAGTAATCCTTAATATTTTAATTTCATTCTTAATTAAATCACAATGTCAATTTCAGATCTTAGGTATACTTTTAGGTTGCTTGTTTTAGAATCCTTCTGGATCAATTTCTCAGCAATCATAGTGAAAATCGCGTATTAAATTGGACAGTCCAGATTAACTCGGTGTTCAGTCAGTCAATTCATAACAAATATTAAATTGAACTCCCTAAATAGTGAAGAATCTAGAAATTTAAAAATAGCATCTAAAATTCAATATTTTTTAAAAAAACAATTATGCAAATATTTTTTTAAAAAACAATTATGCAAATTTTTTTATTTTTTCTCATCCCTTAATAAATTGAACTAAATTTAATATTTTTACCCAAAATAATAAGAATGCATAAGCTATCTTTGGGGGCTTAATGCATCCACCATGTTCTTGAAGGACAATTTCATAAGATCTGCAAGAAAGATTTTACCTTAAATCTTTAACGGACACCTTTTGAACACTTTATTTATTAGAACTGATTCTTCCGGCAGACTCAACAAAATAACATCATTACCAATACTCTCTATCCTAATTAATAGACTATCAGGCTTAAGGTGAAGACAAAGCAAACTTGCTTCAAGGAATATCTACAATGCAATGACGACGAAGAAAGATCGAGAGCTAAACAAAGATACAAGGAGGGGAAGCGGGAAGCCAAGAAAACGGTTGCTAAAGCAAAGGATAAGGCATACGAGAAAATGTACAAGAGATTAGACACCAAGGAAGGACAAAACTGCATCTTTAGGCTAGCAAAATCTAGGGAGAATAGGAAAAAGGATATATGTAGCATTAGGTTTATTAAGGACAATAATGGTGTTCTTTTAGTGAAAGATCATGATATTAAGAGGGTTTGGGGTAGTTACTTATTTGGCTTATTTAATGACGGTGCCTCTCCCTGTAGAGATAGTACCGTTGATGGGTCAGCTGACCATCTTACTACGGCCAATGAATGCCCTACAACTAGGATTGGGTTTAAGGAAGTCAAAATGGCTCTTAGAAAGATGGGGAGGGATAAAGCTGTCGATCCAGATCAAATTCCTATCACTGTGTGGTTGGCCCTAGGAGAAGAGGGAGTTAAGTGGTTGACCAACATCTTTAATATTATTTTAGAGACTGCCAAGATGCCAGAGGAGTGAAGAGAGTCTACGGTGATACCAATCTATAAGAATAAAGGAGATCCCCAACGTTGTAGTAACTACAGAGGTATTAAACTACTCAGCCATACCATGAAGCTATGGGAAAGGGTGATAGAGGCTAGGTTGAGACAGGTTACTAGGGTTTCGGAAAACCAATTTGGCTTTATGCCAGGCAGGTCTACTATGGAGACGATTCATCTACTTCGACGGCTTATGGATAAATATAGGGAAAAAATAGAGATCTTCATATGGCGGTCATTGACCTTGAGAAGGCGTATGATAGCGTTCCCCGCGATACAATCTGGAAGACCTTGGAAACGATACGGATCCCAACTGCTTATATCTAGGCGATTCGTGATATGTACTGCAGATCTACTATATACGTCAGAACTACAGTTGGAGACACCAAGGCATTCCCGGTGGAAATCAGACTCCACCAGGGGTCGGCTCTTAGCCCTTACATCTTCGCCTTGATTATGGACGACATCTATTATGTAACACCAGACGGTGTTCCATGGTGTATGCTTTTCGCTGACGACATTGTCCTAGTTGCTGAAACAAGAACTGAGCTAAATAGTAGACTAGCTACTTGGAAGACTGCTTTGGAAGAAAAAGGTCTAAGGATCAATATTGCAAAGACAAAGTATTTATGTTCAAACTTCAGTGGGAACCAAAATGATTAAGATGTAGAGGTATGTATAGAAGGACACGTTCTCCCCTCAAAGGATTGTTTCAAGTATATAGGGTCTATGATATATAAAGATGAGGGTGTGGATGATGACGTTACACACCGTATAAATACGGGATGGCTAAAGTGAAGGGCTGCTATCGGAGTTTTGTGTGACAAGAAAGTGGCTCTAAAACTTAAGGGAAAA